CAGTCTGCGTGGTTCAGTTGGACAGCAGTTGGACATGCTACGGTGCATACAGGGGGCAGAGAGAGTGATAGACACTAGCTTTAGGGACGTGGTCACACCACAGGTCCAGATAGATAGATGGGCGACTGCCAGGAGAGGGAGGCATGTAGTGCAGGAATCCCTTGGATTAGTGTAAAATTTCAGCACAACATCGTGGGCCAAAGGGCCTGTACTGTGCTGTACTGTTCTATATTCTATATTCCCTTCTCAAACAGGTATACATTTTGGATACTATTGAGGGGTGGGGGGGATAACCTCTTAAGAGATAGTACAAGCAGCGGCCAGACCTGTGGCACCACGACTGCTCTACAGCAGAACCAGGATGGGGCAAAGTCCTGGTGAGCAATAGTAGCAGGTGACTCGATAGCCGGGGGCACAGACAGGCGTTTCTGTGGCTGTGAACAACATTCTAGGATGATGTGTTGCCTTCCTAGTGCCAGGGTCCTGGATGTCTGAGTGGGTACAGGACATCCTGAAACGGGAGGCAAAAACAGGTAGAAGTCATTGTCCACATTGGCATAAATGACATGGGTAGGAAGAAGGGAGAGATCCTGCGAAGATAATTCAGGGAGTTAGGTAGGGAGCTAAAAAGCAAGACCAGCAGGTAGTAATCTCAGGATTACTACCTGTGCCATGGGCTTGGAACAGAGAGAGTATTGTTGAGCATGTGGGTACAGAGCTGGTGTCAGACGGTGGGCTTTAGATATATGGCTCATTAGGATGTCTTCTGGGGAAGGTGGGACCTGTTCAAGAAGGACGGGTTGCATGTCAACTGGATGAGCACCAGTATCCTGGGTGGGAGGTTTGCTAGAGGTCTTCAGAAGGGTTTAAACTAGTGTGGCAGGGGCTTGGGAACCAGAACAAAAGGCCAGTAAGTGCAGGGACTGGGGACAAAAGAGACTGAGATATGCTTAGTGCAGAATAATAGCAGGCAGAAGGAAGTCAGAGGGTTCAGGGACTGGAAGTCTGGAGTGCATTTACTTTAAAGCAAGAAATATAACCAGTAAGGCAGATGAACTAAGAGCATGGATTAATGTATAGAATTATGACGTTATTGCCATTACGGAGACATGGTTAAAGGAGGGACAGGACTGGCAGCTTAACATTCCAGGATTTCACTGTTTTAGAAGGGACAGAAAGGGAAACAAAAAGGGGTGGGCGTTTTTGCATTGCTGATTAGGGATAACATCACAGCTGTGTTGGGGGAGGACGCATCAAAGGGATCTTGCAGTGGCATTACGGGTGGAGCTCAGGAATAGAACAGGTGAAATCGCAATGTTGGTAGTTGTCTGGTGTGAAAAAAGCAGGGTAGTTGTGGGGGGTGACTTCAACTTTCCTCTTATTGACTAGGACCTTCTTAGAGCCAGGAGCTTGGATGGAGACCAATTTGTTAGATGTGTCCAGGAGAACTTTTTGAGACAGTATATTGACATTCCAACCATAGAGGAGGCCATGCCAGACTTGGTATTAGGGAATGAGCCAAGACAAGTGATCGATGTTTCGACAAGAGAGGATTTTGGACTTAGTGACCATAACTCCATAAAATTTTGAGTAGTCATGGACAAGGACAAGAGTGGCCCTAGGGTGAGGGTGCTTAATTGGGCAAGGGCCAATTATATCCAAATTAGGCAGGAACTGGGGAATGTGAATTGGGAGCAGTTATTAGAGGGCAAATCTACGTCTGGCGTGTAGGAGACTTTTAAAGACCAGTTGATTTAAAGTGTAGGACATGCATGTCCCTGCAAAACGGAAGGATAGGAATGGCAGGATTCAGGAACCATGGATGACAAGGGAAATTGTAAGCTTAGCCGAAAGGAAAAAGGAAGCATGCAATAGGTCTAGGCAGCTACAAAGTGACAAAGCCCTTGAAGAGTATAGAGAAATTAGGAAGGAACTTAAATGCGGAATTAGGGAAGGCTAAAAGGAGCCATGAAATGTCTTTAGCAAACAGGGTCAAGGCGAATTCCAAGGCTTTTTATGCATATATTAGAAGATGGAGAATAGCAAGGGAAAGAGAAGGCCCACTCAAGGACAAAGGAGGGAGGTTGCATGTGGAGTCACTGGAAGAGGGAGAGATCCTTAATGACTGCTTTGAATCGGTATTCACCAAGGAGAAGGACATGACTGATGTTGAGCTTAGGCAAGAGTGTGTGAATACTCTATCGAATGTCAATAAGGAGGAAGTTTTGGGTATCCTAAATTGCATTAAGGTAGAATAGTTCCCAGGGCCAGATGAGATCTATCCCAGGTTACTGCAAGAGGCAAGGGAAGAAATAGCTGGGGCATTAGCAGATATATTCACATTCTCCTTGACCACAGTCAAGGTTTCAGAGAACTGGAGATTATCCATTGTTGTTCCCTTGTTTAAGAAAGGAAGCAGGGATAATCCAGGGAATTATAGGCCATTGTACCTAACGTCTGTGGTCGGGAGGCTCTCGAAGAAGATACTGAGGAACGAGATATATGCACATCTGGGAGAAAATGGACTAGTTAGTGATAGACAGCATGGTCTTGTATGGGGAATATCATGTCTCACCAAGATGATTGAAATTTTGAAGAGGTGACAAAGACAACTGATGAGCGAACAGCTGTGGATGTGGTTTATCTGGACTTTACTAAGGCATTTGGTAAAGTCCCACATGGCACATAGGTACAAAAACTGAAACCACATGGGATTCGGGGTGGGCTGGCTACATGGATACAAGACTGGCTTGGTCATAGAAGACAGAGGATAGCGGTGGAAGGATGGAGAATGGAGACCGGTAACTAGTGGTATTCCACAGGGATCAGTCTCAGGTCTGCTGTTGTTCGCAATATATATAAATGATCTGGATGAAAATGTGGGTGGTCTGATTAGTAAGTTTGTAGATGGCATGAATATTGGTGGAGTTGTTGATAGTGCCAACGATTGTGACAGGATGCAACAGGATATAAATTGGTGACTTGGGCACAGAAATGGCAGATGGAGTTTAATCCAGACAAGTGCAAGATGATGCATTTTGGAGGATCAAACTTAGGTGTGAATTATACCGTTATGGCAGAACCCATAGGAACATTAACATACAGACGGATCTGGGCATGCAGGTCCACAGTTCCCTAAAAGTGGCAACACAGGTGGCCAAACTAATTAAGAAGGCATATGACACACTTGCCTTCACCGGCCAGGGCATGGAGCACAAGAGTTCGCAAACCATTTTGCAGCTATACAAAACCCTTGTTAGGCCACATTTGGAGTATTGTGAGCCGTTTTGGTCGCCACACTACCAGAAGGACATGGAAGCTTTGGAGAGAGTGCAGCGAAGGTTTACCAGGATGTTGCCCAGTTACAAGGGCATTGGCTATGAGGAAAGGTTAAAAAGACAAGGATTGTTTTCACTGGAAAGACAGCGGCTAAGAGGAGATTTGATAGAGGTCTACAAAATTATGAGAGGCATAGATAGAATGGATAGTCAGAGGCTTTTTCCCAGGGTTGAAGTTTCAATTACAAGGGGACACGTGTTCAAGGCGAGAGGGGGAAAGTTTAAGGGAAATGTGCGAGGTAAGTTTTTCCACGCAGAATGTGGTAGGAGCCGAGATCGCACTGTTAGAAGAGGTGGTGGAAGCAGGCATGTTGGCAACATTTAAGAGGCATCTTGATGGCTACATGAATAGGGAGGGAATAGAGGGATACGGACCAAATAAGGACGAAGTTTTTTTTTTAGTTTAGTTTGGGCATGATCGGCACAGGCTTGGAGGGCTGAAAGGCCTGTTCCTCTGCTGTACTTCTCTTATTCTTTGTTCTTTTTGTACAAATTCAAAATTACAATGTAGCAAATTAAAATTAAGTACCTTCAACAATAACTACAGAAGTCATGTGTATAATTTAACTATTGTCATTTACATGGTATTTTCGTGGAAGACCCCATATTAGTGTAAAAGCATTGTAACAGTGCGTGACTTATTCTGTAACCCATTGACTTTCTGTTTGCAATAATAACTAATGGTTTGTAGCTCCTGTCTGGTAATACAGAGGTCAGTATTCTTTCTATGAAAACAGTATGGACTGGAGAATTGTTTTGACAGCAGTGAGTTATCTGTGCTAAATTTTGTCTTCATATGAGAACCTTGGCTGCAGTAGGCTTCATTACTGTGATTGCTATATTTTTCTATAGAGCACATATATTTTCAGTGGAGTTTGTATGTTTGTGGTTGAGTGGGCAACTCTACACTTTCTTCTCTATGCCAAGGGGGCCAACTGTACTGCACTTGCAAAAAAATTAACGGAACTAACTTGTTCTCACTTGGTCTGTGTGGCTTAGTTATTTTATAAGCCAATGAAGATATTTTGAATTTTTGCTTAAATACAAAACAAGGTAATTTTACAGTGAAACATGATCAGAATTTGATAAACAATTGAAATTAATATAAACTATTATTACAAAGAAAGAGGAAACAAATGTTTTTGCTGAAAGTTGTCTCTAGCTTCATATTGTTTCTATCTCCCAGCTGAGAGATTGTATTTTATTTTGAGTTGATGCTGTGTTTAGACCTGTGGCATTAAAAGATAAGTGATGGTAACTTAACCAATTCATTCCCTGGCTGGCATCACCATGCCTGTTCGTCCAGGCAAAAAACTGTAAAATTTGTTTCTGGCTGAGAGTCTATTCCCAGAACATATCCAGAAGGGCAAGCTTGCAAACAGTGATCTATCAGGCGCATCGTCAAGGCAGCTGTTTTTTGACCAAAAGATACAGCAGGAAAGATCTCAGTAAACTGCATCAGTAGCAAATAAATGGAAGGTGCCATTTCTCCAGGATAATATTGCACATTTTTATAATATATCTTGTAAGCACAGACTGAAACTGTTCTCTTGCATACAATGTTTAAATACAATCCAAAATTACTAGCCTGGATTCCACAATATGTTGTTCATCAGTACTCAGCAATGTCCTAAAAGGCTTTTTTTTTCTCTTATTTTTCAGCATGATCGAATCAGCAGGTAAGAACCTTGTCATACTGTGTGGCCCAAAACTACATCTGTGTTCATTAAATAAAATAGCTTAATTTTTTTATTATTCACTTTTGTATATGTGTATAAATAATGTTTTAGTTATCTACTTTTTATTGGATGATTTGACAAATAATTTTTGGGATCTGTTTTAAAAAGATGCTATGTTATTTAAAGAATTGTTGCGTAATTGGTCACAGTATCTTTATAGCTAATTTAAAATTTTTCAGTATGGTCTGTTAGTAAAATACTTGACAAGGTCCATGCCTCAGGTCTATACAAAATCAAAGTTTAGAACTCCAGTGTGGGGGAGTAGGGCTAAGTTCGAAGAGGTCTTCCATTTAAGATAGATTAAGAATTTCTTAGAGGATTGCTAGTGTGTGGAATTCTCTGGCCAAGCCATGGAGAATGAGTTGTTGAATATATTCAAGACTGAGTCACACCAATCTTTTTGACCTGCAAGGTAATTGAGGATTATTGGAAAGTGAAAGAGGGCAGGATTTGATCAGCCACGATTTATTAAATGGCAGAGCAGAGTTGCGAGCTTGTGGCCTACTCTTGTTGCTATTTATATTCTTAATTGCTCTTGCACCTTCTTAATTGGACTGATGTTATATTTTGTTTTATTACAGAGAAACATGTTGGAACATTTTGTAATATTAGAACTTTATTGACCATTTTCGGAATCTGTTATCGGTTCTGAAATGCTGCAATCATAGCATTACTTAATGTAGACATTTGATTTACGACTGCATTAATACAAAGTTGGTTAGTGGCTGCATTTTGTGTGTTCCAATATGTAACATCATTTAATTGCAGCTTTTATGTTTAGGTTGGATTCAGGATCATCAAATTCCTCATCAGCTGACAGTTACAGTGATCGTTTGTTAAGTCGAACCAGTTCGTACACACGCAGGGAGAATCGATTGTCATCCCTTAGTAAAGTAGAACAGGAAGACAGTGTAAAGGATTACAAGAAGGTAGGTGATTTTTCTTTGGATTAGGGTGTGAGTTGATGTCAGATTCATAATGATTTGTAGATTCTTGGATATGTATTTGGACAGCCTAATATGAAAAAAAATGTTTATCTTCATTTTGGCCTTGCACTTTATCCTCTTGCTCATTCCTATGCAGAAGCTGTATCTTATCCTTTCCAGATCCGACTCCACCTTCTTTTTGTGAAGTTGAATTTTGTAGTAAGAATACAATATTCTACAAGTCGAGGTATTCCCTACTTAAAATAATTGAAAGACTACAAAATTGCATCTTGCTCAAAATTCCTGAATTATCCTTTTACAGTGTACGGTTTACTCACAGCAAAACCAAATTAATGGGAAGACGTTGATGTTGGGGACATGTCCTCGTTCAGTCCTTTTAATGTGTCCTTGTTTATACATACTAAAGCATGCACTATAATAGGGAAATCTGTTTTATCGTAAAATTTGTTAAAACTCAGAAACTCTCAGGCACAATGCTTCGTAATTAATGATGTAATGAATAAGGAAGCAGAATGTGGAGTTGTATTTGGTCAGTGAAAAACCTTGGTTAGTGTGAGGTTCCAATCCATGTTGTTTTTAATTTTGCAGTGTCTCAATTTTGGAAGTATCTTTTGCTTTATTCTGAATTCATTTTGAGAATGCTTTATGTGGTGACCTGTGAGATTCCCTGCATGCTTTTTGTTAAAATCCGATGTTACTTTATAATTATGCCAGTAGTTTTGCTGCAAGGCTTGGAAGACGTCTCATTTTAAATTGAAGCTTTGATGCTGACAGACAGCATTTTCTCCATTGTAACTCATTTAAAAATGACCAAATATGACTTGAATTGTACCAGAGGAAAAACATCCTGAGTTTCACCCATGTGACTCCTGGTCAGGAATAAATCTGAAAATAAAACCTGAAAGAACTGCGGATGCTGTAAATCAGGAACAAAAACAGAAGGTGCTCGAAAAGCTCAGCAGGTCTGGCAGCACCTGTAAATAAAAAAAAAAAAAATTACAGGTAACGTTTTGGGTCCTCAAAGTTCTGAGGAAGGGTCACTAGACCCGAAACATTAACTGTGATTTTTTTTCTTCACAGATGCTGCCAGACCTGCTGAGCTTTTTGAGCAACTTCTGTTTTTGTTCATAAACCTGAAAATATCGTGACTGTTTGGGAGCCAATTTTTGGAAGGTCAAATTCTGACTATGGACCAGAGAGATGTTCATTTTTGTTCTAGATTTAAAGGTCTGGGAATGGAAATTTAGGTCTATACTTTAAACCAAATCCTAGAGGTAAATGTTAACATTACCCACTATTGTATCGTGTATAATTTTAAGTATATTAACAGTATCCTTTAAAACAAACTGAAGGAATAAAACTATGAGGATCTTTTCCAAAACAGTTCAGTAATAATTTGAGTGGCTGTATCATCTGAAAATTGAGAATCTTTATAGAAGCCTGCAAGTAATTTACAACATTTATTTTGCTGCACAAGTATACATATGTACAGTTTCAATCACTTTGTGGTTTGTGCTAGCTCCATCTTAAATGTAATTGCTCCTTTAATTCTATATAAAGTAACGAGTCGATCTGCTGAGTATTCCATTTGTAAACGGATATAAATCACCCAAATTGACTTGCGGTTTAGTGGAAGAAGTGCTCTTTTCAGAAAACTTAAAATAGGCGTGGTCCTTAACAATCCATTCAAATACTGAGCAGTTCTTCTCTTACAATGTTGCTATGAAATACCCAATCAACTATATATCCTGGCAAAAAAACTTGAATCTACCCAGGCATTGAATAAAATGGACATTGACAAGAAAGTTAGGAAAATAGGTCTATGTGGCCAACAAGTAGTTACTCAACATTTTGAAAACAAGGTTTCGTTTTCCAGCCAAGTGTCATACAACAAGGTGAGATTCTCACCAGTGAGCAGCGAGAGTCCTATCTGCATGTATTATTATTCATTGACATCTCGTTATTACCTAATCTAACATCATTAATATGGAGTTTCTGAATCAATTTCCTGCCAATTAAAACTGGATGGCTACAATTCCTCAATGTGAAGGTCAGAATGAATACCTGTCTAGGGCAAATAACATGAACTGTGCAGGGCAGCCCTGGACTGCAAATGCTTGACTTAGTGCACAGGAGCCTTTTAAATATGGTGCCTGGTATCCTGAGATATCCTGGTAGTGGTGACTATTTCTGCCTGTGACAAGTGGGAGAATACAACAAGTGGGGCACAAAAACAAAATTGCTGGAAAAGCTCAACAGGTCTGGCAGCATCTGTGAAGGAAAAAACAGTTAACGTTTCAGGTCCGGTGACCTTTCCTCAGAACCAGTGGGGCACAATAGTGGCATGGTATGTAGGTAATGAGGCGAGTTTGGGAAGGTAGCATGAGAAACCTAGGCCTTGCAGAGAGAAACTTTCCATGAAACTCACCAAAATGGACACAGCCAATTTCTGTTAAGAGTCCCCCAGTATCTTTGCCTATTCTTTTCATTTAAAATGTGCATGTTTTATCTTTCCATTTGTAATCTTCCATGTTTTTCTATCCCTCTTTCCTTCCTGTATGCAAGCCACGAGGTCTTCCTGCCATGAGTTTTTTTGCAAGCTAACTTTGAATATTTGAACATTATCTCAGCACAGATTGAGTATTTCTATATAAAGACACAGTTTTGTCAAAGTTTGCTTTATTTTGCATGCATCAGGGCATTTTGCAAGGATATCAATTCAAGGGGAAAAGCAACATTTATACTGATGGATGCAAGACAAAAGGCTTCAACAGAATGTTTTATCATTTGAGCAAAGCTGTAATGTAGATTGTGAAAAGTAATGATCCCTGTGCTGATGCCTGTAGCACACCATTTCTTACCTCATTCTCCTCATTCTGTCTTGAGAGCAGATAGCATTCCATTCTACCCCAGGCTCCATATTCTGACATCATTCATCATTCTGTTTCCAGGTATCTTATGAGAAATCAGATAAATTACACCTACTCCATTACCATTGTCTACACAGACTCCCATTCCTTTTGAAAATCCATACAAGCATTTGGCATAGTTTCTCAATGTTCTTCGATTATCCTTTACGAAAAATTTCTTTTGTTTTACCACTAGTGTTCAGCTTACTGGTCTATAACATTTGTTGTCCCTTTCTTAAATATAGGAGTTATATGTTTTTGATCTCCAGTATTCTGGTACAACTTATTTTTCCTGTGCAGTATTGCCTCTGGTTTCTCTACTCTAGATTCTTGTAAATTAATTAAATGCTGTCTGTCTGGACCAAGAGTTTTATCCTGAATTTGATTAATTTATTCGATATATTCCTTTTTATAATTTTAAGTGCCTTTATCTCATTATTCATCTCATTATTCAGTGTCATGTTGATCTGTTCTATTCCCTGGTTCAAAAAAAAGGTCAGGCTGCCATAGTCCTAGCGGAGCCACAGTACTGCTCTCATTAGAGAGAAACAACTGGTGGTGAGTTTAGCCTTGGTGTCAGCAGACCTAAGATGAGGGAGAGGTTGAGAAGGAGAGTCCTTCATGGTAACCTCAGCTGGCACGGGAATTGAATCCATACTTCTGGTTCTCCAGCCAATTGTGCTTTATGTGCTTTTTTCTGAACTCTCAGTTGTCTGTTTAGTCTTTATTCGTGCATAGAGTCCTAGAGTGCTTAATTAATTCTTTTAGTGGAACGTGTATTCCCGCACTGTGAACACTTTAATTACAATGTTTCCTAATGCTGTTCTTCATGGTTTTTTGTCAAAATGTTGCCTTCTCAGCCCATCAAAATCAGCTTTTCTGCTATCTGTGAACTTAGTTTTCATTGTACTTAGTTTCTTCTCTATCATTAGCTTTACAACAGAGATCCAGTTCCTGTCAATAAAGTCAGACAGTCGGACAATTTATGTGCCAGGAAGATTGCAGGCATGGTTTTTTTGAGTATGCAAGCTGTTTAATTCGAAGCCATAATTCACTTTCTATATTTTTACTAGATAGGATAGACTTATGCCCCATACTCACCAGTGAATGTTTTCTGAAAGTAGCAAAGTTTTTAAATTAAAACCTGCACTAATAATAGGCTGGGTGGGGTAAGTTCTTCCCATTAAAAGTAGCAATTCCAATTTATTACCTTTGAAATAACTACAGCTGCAAACTTTGTGTTTTTAAAGAACATGCAATTTAAAATGCTGTTAAAGTACTGTGTATGTGAATAAAATTTGCTGCTTGTGTTAAAATTTGGAATATATGGCTGTTTTAATCATTGATTTTGTTTTACAGTTATATGAAGAGGCCTTGACTGAAAATGAGAAACTTAAAGCCAAACTGCAGGAGGCACAGCTGGAGCTCACTGAAGTAAAAACACAGCTGGAGAAAGCTACACAGGTTCCGAGAGATTACAAGAGATTTTCATGAAGTTGTATTTTTCACTTTAACTCCTATGGTGTGGAAAATTTCTGTTCATAATTTAGCACCAACTAACGTTGACACTTGTGCATTTCAGAAACAAGACCGGATTTCTGATAAGTCTTCAATGCTGGAGATGGAAAAAAGGGTATGTTTTGTTATCCCCCACCCCAATCATCACCATAAATTTCTAAGCATTGAATTACCTGGACAAAAACCTGTTCATTACTAGATAGTTTATCAGCAGTTTAAATTTCCAATTGAAACTGTTCACCAAATACTTTAAGTCATTCTTTATAATGGTAATGACAATAGCTATTTAGGTGAGGTCTAAGAAAAGCTTTATTGTATTTGATTAAAAACCAGGTTACCAATCACTTCTGCAGTCTATCAAAACTCAGTAAGCTTTTTAATGAGCATGACAAAGGTAACTGCATGAATGATTCCCACATCTCCCTTATTGTGTTATGACCATGTGAGGAGGGGTGACTCAGTTTACCTCTATCTAACACCCCATATGGGTCGCGGGAAAGATTTTAAATTCTCTTCATGCAGGTATATAATTCTTCAAATAAAACATATTATGGTCAAAATTAAACCAAGTACAAGGTTTACTTAAATGAAAGAAAGAGGAAGTTCATTCCATACTAACCCAAGAGAAATAATAAGTCATGATGTCAAATACCATGTAAACAGAAGTATAAAGTTTAAAAAGGGAATGGTATCCAGCACAAAAAGGAAGATCAAAAATGGGCAGTTGAAAAGTTGTTGTAGTCCATGAAATTTTAAATATTAATCTGACACCACAATTGTTTAATTGTTTTTTCCTCAGCCACAGCAAAATTTGTAGATATCTTTCAATTCTCCATCAATAGATTTTTCTCCATTTTGCTTTGTCACCAGACATTGTTCTTCAGGAAGCTTAAGAGAATCAGCGAGAGAGAGCATAAGCCATCTAGTTAGGCTGTGATGAATCCATTCTCTTCTCTCTGTTCTGTAAGATGTTGCCTGAAATACCGTTCCCCTTTAAATTCCTTTTCTTTGGTTTCATTTTATTTTTCAGATTGATTGATATTGATCCCAATATATGAAACATTCAGAAGTAAAAAGGATGTATAGACCTGAGTGATTGGTTTCAATGTCATCACTCATTTGAATGAGTGCACTGATATTTGCACCTCACCACTCAGGGTGTTATTACAAAAGTTAAAGTTGTAATCAAAGTATTTTATTGCACCTGCCTAATGGACTTAGGTTAACAAAATCTGACCAGATTTCTGTAATTAATGTGAACTTCTGTCAACTTGTATCCATTAGATTGAGAAAATTTATGTACTTGTTGAAGGCCCACAAAATTATGGACTTGAAGGTCACAAAGCAAGTAGGGGTCATGCATTTCTGGACTTCATTACCTTCTGAATGCTATCTGACTAAACCTATCACGATTAATTAATTTTCTAAAGTTGTATATTGGCTTCAAGAGCAGTGAAAAACTTGGAACAAAACACGCACTTAGAAGTTACAGCTGGCGACGCTCGTCCGTTTTTGGTATTTTAATGTGGGTATAATTGGTCTTTGACAGGAAAAACGTGCTTTGGAAAGGAAGGTTTCTGAAATGGAGGAAGAGCTAAAGGTATGATTGTTGTTTTATTTCTTCATTATACAAACATGAATTGCAGATTCTGTAAATAAACATGGATCCTGTAAATAAACCCTGTGAACAAAAATTATGGGAAGTGCATGCTTTAATATTGATGGCAAGTGTTCATTATGCACTTTTACCTCCTAAGGTGTAAATCTGACTTTTTTTAACCTAGGTTCCTGAAAATTATGGTTTTCCCATTTAATCTGATGGAATTTCTCCATCCACTGTCATTATATGGATAAAACCACTCTAACAGGAAAATCACTTGAATAATTCCTTCACTCTTCCATTGCAGGTCAATAACGGGTAGAATTACTATTCCCAACTCAAAACCCAGAAATAAATATCCATTTATGAGCAATGAATCAGAAATAAAGCTATTAACTGTTTTTGACTGTTCTTGGTGCTCTTCAACTGAGTACTATCATGATTTGAGAAAGGTCATTAACTTTTAAAAAGAAATTCAACCACCCAGTTATTAACAGAGAAATTACAAGATTTCACATTTTACGCACTACTTCTACTGCACACCTATTAAACAAAGCATGTGTTTTTTTTCCAAATCAGGATCATGAGGGTTCTTTAATTTATCTTAAGTCCAAACCATAGTTTCCGTTGCTCTTTGGAATCCCCTTTTGACGCTCCTCAGCTTCACAGACCAACATTTAACTTCCAAAGCCTTTTCTGTTCATGAAGATGCCACTACTGATCACTTGCACAGGCCTTATTATCTAATCTGATAGTTTTAAGTCCTCATGCACATGGAATTTTCATTTCAAGCATTGGCCCCACTCTCAGTTTCTGCTTGTGACTTCAGGTCAGGTCATCCTTGATTTCTAATGGTCTCTGAGCAAGTACTCAAATAATTTCTTACAGCCTTCTGGGTTAAGTCTGTAGTATCTTTGTTACCACCTTCAAAAATTAGTCTGTTCCATTCTTTGAAATCCTCCCCACACAGTATTCCCATGGAATTGCCACCCCTGCATCCCCCAAACAGAGATATAAACAAATTCTATTTTACCTTTAAAACACAACTTTGATTCTGGGACCATATAAATTATTTATATCTCTGATGGCCCTCTTACTAACTATCAAGAAACTCAACATTTGCATGTTGTTTCTAGCCTTGACCTGGGTCAACCTGAAGCATTAATTGGAATATCCCCTGATTTATATTTCAGCCTTGAAGCATTTTCCAAGATGTTTTGAGACAAGCTGACTCTCCAGATAGATCATAAGTAGCTGTTATAATCCTAGAAATAAATATCTTGCTTCAGTAACACAGTAAGCTATCCCCTTTAAACTGTAATCACCTCAGATCTGTTTGAATTGTACTTAGCACAGGGTTGTTTGTTCTCCAAAACTAGATGCTCCCATAATTTCGATCCTAATCCAAAAGTTTTATTCCTAAAACATATGAATCAGGTAATTAAACATTTTTTATAACAACAGTTTGACCAGCACTCCATAAAAGAAAGGTTAAATTGGTAAATTTGGCAAGCCAATTCTCATTCATTTTCTAACTTGTTATTCTTTACAAAATT